ATCCAAGTTTTTTAAGCGATATTAGGACTTATAATAGCATGTTTTCCATGACTTCTTTTGGGGAAAACGTAGATGAGGATGTGAATGATAACCGAGGTCCTTATGTTTTTAAAATATCTGGTCAGATTAGTCACAAGATTGGGTCCCTCTCTCCGGATCCTGCAAAGGGTCCGAGGTTTCTGCAGCTTTACCTCTTCGATACTGCGAACGAAGTAGAGAATAGATTCAAGGTTTTTGATGGTCCTAAAAAGAGGAATTTGGATTGTAATATTGTTAAGTTTCTGGTAAACGTTTTGGGGGCTAACAATGAATATGTGCGGACCTTCAAGACTGCAAAACAAATAGTTGAGGAGGCTAATTTACAGTCATATTTGGTGCGACTGTTTAACAATGTTGCGGACCGTAGGTATGATTTGTCGTCCCCCAGGTCTTTGGGTTGTATAGTAAGTGGTGATGACACAACGTCTACAACATATGACATCATTGTCCATTCGCAATCAGGTCGGCCTCAACGTATTAGTAAGATGCATCCAAGCTATATGCCTTTACAATACCCACTTTTGTTTCCATATGGTGAAGAAGGTTGGTCGCCCCGTTTGAAAATCGGTAGCAGGAGAGGGACAACTGCTGAAAATCTTACTGTGAATATGTATTACGACTATCATATCCATGCCCGTCAGCATATCTGGTCTCCTATTGTAAACTCATCTCGCCTCTTCCAACAATATTTGGTTGATGCATACACATGTATAGAAGAAAGTCGTTTGGATTACATTGTTAAGCATCAAGGTAATCTTCGGTCTGATTATGTTTGCGGCCTCTATGACGCACTTTCGAAGGGAGACAAAGAGGCAAGTGTTGTTGGCAAACGTGTATTCTTACCTGCATCATTTACTGGCGGTCCCCGTTTCATGTATAGTCATTATCAAGATGCGCTTTCTATATGTAGGGTGTATGACAATCCACAATACTTTATCACGTTTACATGTAACGTGAAGTGGCCAGAGATAACACGCTACATGGATACACATTCGCAAACAGATGTCCACAGTCTAGCAGATATCATTGCTAGGGTCTTCAACATCAAAGTTCATGAGTTTGTTCGGTTTCTAAAACAGGACAAAACATTTGGTCAGGTCGAAGCATGTATGTTTTCCATTTTGTCTTCCTTTCACATATGTTTTAAATATGATGTTATGTGATATGTTAGTCCTTATGTTTCGATCTTACTAACAAATGGTTGATTCATATAGGCTATACGTCTTTGCAAACATCAATGATACTAATGACCATTTCCAAATGTAGCCCTTTGTACATATGTTACCATTTGTCTTTCAACTTTAGTAACGAATGGTTAACATATTTTTTACTATTTTTTTAACTGTGTTCTTTAATGTTGTTTTCTTATCATTTGTTAGAAATTGAATTTTCTCGTTATTTCCCTGTCATAAAAACTTTTAGTGCATCGTCTCATAAGGTTCCGTCCTGATTCATCAACATTTTATTTAACACATACATTACTCAATCCAGTGAACCTGTTGATGCATCCAAACATGCCTCTTCATTCATACGTAATAATTTTCAGTTTTTATTTTTTATTTAATTTAATTTAATTTTTTTTATTTTTTTCGCTCTACCTGTGAGTTTTGTACCATACTATAACAGAGCTACATTAGATTCCATATCTGGCTGGAACATGTCCACTTTTTAATATATTTTTTTTATTATTAGTTTTTTATCTATATTCCACTAAATCTGGTATGCTTTCAGTTTCTTATCTCTTACAATATCAACTTCAACTTATGCTTAGACACTTAGAAAAAAAAATTGTTAAATGTTAATGCTTGGAAAATTGTTCATAATTGCAGATTTGTACACTATTGAATTCCAGAAGAGAGGTCTTCCCCATTGTCATACTTTACTATGGGTAAACAGCTCAGACAGAATAAAAAATGCAATCGATATTGACACATATATTACAACGGAGTTGCCAGATCCAATTAACGAGCCAGAATTGTACGAGACGATAACAACCTGCATGATCCATGGCCCGTGTGGACCGCTAAACGAAAAAGCTCCATGTATGAGAGATGGTAAATGTAGTAAACATTTCCCTAAGCCCTTTCTTCACACTACATTCTTCGACACAGACGGATATGTACGGTATAAACGTAACTCAGCTGCACACCATACTACCCAATATGGACAGGTTATAGACAATGGATATGTTGTGCCCTACAACAAAAGGCTTTGTTTCCGCTTCCGTGCACACATCAATGTCGAGTACTGCGGCTGGAACATGATGATTAAGTATCTATTTAAATATATTTCCAAAGGAGCTGACCGCGTACGATACACTATCCAAAAGGCAGAATCAACCAATGAACCATCTGCTGCGACACCTGCTGCTGCTCATAACAGGTCCGAAAATGAAGATATTCGTCCTATAAATGAGATGCAGAACTTTTTGGATGGCCGCTACATATGCCCACACGAAGCAACATGGCGGATTTTAGACTTCCATATACACCATCGTCACCAAGCTGTTCAGATTCTAACTATACATGAATAAAACATGCAACATTTGGTGTTCAATGGAGAGAGCACAATACCCGAAGTGCTATCAAATCCGTACAGCACCATCACTACCCTACTTGCGTGGTTTCAAAGCAATGCAAGGGATGCAAAAGGTCATCATTTGACATACCTAGACTATCCAAAATCTTACAAATGGGAAAAGCCATCTAAGTCATGGAGCCAAAGAATTTATGAGTCATCAAAAACAGTAGGCCGGCTTGTATTCGTACATCCTACATCTGGTGAATTATTTTACTTACGGATGCTCCTCTGTCAGCAAAAGGGATGTACATCGTTTGAAGATTTTCGTACTGTAGCTGGTACTGTTTACCCAACTTACCGGGCTGCTTGCAGTGCACTTGGATTGATAGGTGATGATATTGAATGGCTTACCTGTTTCACAGAGGCTTCCATCTGGGCAACCGCATCACAGCTAAGATCACTTTTTTGCCATATACTGCTTTTCCGTGAGGTCAGCAATCCACGTTTACTGTGGGAAATTGCATGTGATAAAATGAAAGATGACTACGTATATAGCTTTAAAACCCAAATACCAGATAAGAGTGTTGCTTCAGGTGCTGACATAATTGAACAACAGCTACTTCATGATTTAGATGACACCCTCCGTTCCGCCGTCCCATCTAAATCAATGGGAGACTTTGGCCTTCCAGTTCCATCAGCCGATGTCTTTGGTATTTTACGAAATCGGCTCCTGCTGGAAGAAATGGGTTACGACAAGGAAGGCCTCCTCAACCAGCCCAATGAGCTGCTACCAAAGCTAAACGGTGACCAACGATCAGTCTACAACACAGTTGTTAGTTCCATAGAAAACAAAAAACACATACTAATGTTTGTTTATGGGCACAGGGGTACTGGCAAGACATTCTTATGGACAACCATCATTTCCTATTTCAAATCCATAAGAAAGATTGTATTGGCTGTTGCTGCTTCTGGAATTGCGTCACTTTTGTTACCTTCTGGAACAACTGCACATTCAAGGTTCAAGATACCTATCGACTTAACAGACAAAAAATCATGTGATATAAAAAAACGCACCTTCCTTGGTGAACTTATGCAGCGTATGACACTCATTATTTGGGATGAAGCGCCAATGAGTGACAGAAGGTGCTTTGAATTTTTGGACCGGTCACTTAGAGATGTACTCGATTGCGATCAGCAGCCATTTGGAGGCATATCGATGCTTCTTGGTGGTGACTTCCGCCAAACTCTTCCTGTTGTACCAAATAGTACACGTTCGGAAATCATTGCACTAACTTTACCAAGTTCATACCTATGGCCATATTTCACAATTCAGATTTTACATACAAACATGAGACTAGAATCCTCTAACATAACGACCCGAACTTCAATGTGCACATCAGCCTTTGCCACATGGTTGCTAGCTATAGGAGACAGAGTCATAGGTGTACCAGACAAATTTGACCCACGGGACTCAAGTTGGGTACAAATTCCATCTTCACTCCTTATACCAGCCACTCCAAACTCTCTACAAACATTGATAGATTTTGTTTATGGAGATGGTATACTTAACAACCCGAATGCCACACACCTATCAGTAAGAGCAATAGTTTCTCCTACAAATGAGACAGCCGATGACATAAACGCTCACATTTTAAAAATGGTCACAACAAGTGGCAGGACATACAATAGCACATACATCATGAAACCAAATGGCAATCACACATCGGATTTGGAAGGGTTGTATCCAATTGAATACCTAAACCAACTAAACTTTCCAGGAATACCACCACACAACCTTACAGTTAAAGTACATTGTCCAATAATGTTGTTAAGAAATATAAACCAGAGGGAAGGTTTATGTAACGGTACCCGACTCATTGTCTCCCAATTGTTACCGAACGTTATTGAAGCAACCATCATAACCGGCAATTGCATTGGAAAACGTGCATATATACCACGCATAAAATTTATACACACGTCATCAGATTTGCCATTCATGTTTTCATGAACACAGTTTCCAGTGAAAGTTTGCTACGCGATGACTATCAACAAGAGTCAAGGACAATCACTCCGTAGAATTGGCATCTATTTGTCACAGCCTGTCTTTGCGCACGGACAACTTTATGTAGCACTATCCCGAGCAACATCACCAGATTCCATAAAAATACTAATAAAGACCAATGACACAATGGAAGACAATCAAACCAAAAACGTTGTCTTCAAAGATTTACTGCCGAAAGTTACTTCAAGAGAGGTCTATAGTATCACTGCCTCTCATACCTTTCATGAACTCTTTTCCAAAAAGCTTTACCGCTTTTTGATATCTTTTTTTACTGTTGACTGCTCCAGCATAAATTACATATCTATAGAATTTCATATTCTCATCCGAATATACCACTGATTTTCACATATTTCTTTGTATTAGAAAACACAAAGAAGTC